AAGAGGATACAGAATAGCAGCTCCAAAATTGGTACTTATGGTTGAGGCACTTTATGAGCTACTTAGGGTAGCTGAGCTGTGCTTCTGATTGTTTGTTTGCTCTGTTTATCAGTGAGGTGGGGCCTGGGTATTATCAGAGGCTATATTGCAGGGAAATGAGCTGGAACGACAAAGAATAATCACTTGCTCCCTTTAATGCAGGGAGGGCGTTTGGAGAGATGATGCTGGGACTGAAGTAGCATAACCATCTCCAGCTTGAATTGAGCCATTTAGCCCAGATGACCATAAGCCAGGAAAGAAAAAAGAGCCAAATGTGCCCCTCAACATCAGTAACAATGAAGGGTTGGGTAAGTTAGGCCACCATTAGGCTGTTTCTGTGGGTCCCAGTCAGGGCTTCTCAATAAACTTACACAGTCTGAGCTGCAGCAGAACTTCTGTAGATGATGGGCCAATTGCCCTTTCATCCAAAAGGCAACAAGCCTTAGTGCCATCCTGGCATGTTGACCAAATCATAGGGGCTGTCTCTAGCACAAGGTGGGGCCATCCAAGATAGCTCTGCCATGCCAGGTCCAGAACTGGAATATATTCCAGGGCTCTCCTCAGTCCAGTTTTCAATGACTCAAGAAGCACCCCTTGACTCGAGGGGTGCTTCTTCCTTGGAACTATTCTGCACAATAATAGATTCTCCTATAGCAAACCCATCCATCCCTGATACTCACGCTGTGTTTTCAGCTCTCTGTTCCTTGAATCAGCCCAAATAAGTCCTCTTCCCACCCTAGTGATCACAGTCTTAAAAACTTTGTGTGACAAGGCTGTCAAATTTATAAGAAAGGACTGTGTTGCTTTGATGTGATAACACATTAAAAGAAAGTGAGTGGGTTTGGAAATTATCCCCACAGGTCCCCCAGCTGTTCATCTCTGCATCTCTCTCTCTCTCTTCCACTTTACTGTAATGCCCATCACTGCCTTACCTGTAAGAGATCTAAGAAGCTGTAACAATCGCAATGAATTTTTCAATAATGAAATCACTTCTGAAAAGGAAAAAGCTTTAATGTTCCTAAATACAGGCTTCTTCTACTTTAAGAAGCTTACTGTCTATTTGTAGCAACAATTTAGCCGTTTTCCTAATCTGCTCCTTTCCACTGTCTATCTTGCTCCACCGCATCTCAGGGGCACCTGAGATGCATCTATATTTTTCCCTCCCAAATTGTATGTTTCCAATTATTGCTCTCTGGATCTTGCTAATGCATGTTTATTTAGGTCAATCAACACCTTTTAACAGTTGGAGCCAAAGAAGACAGTACTTTGATTCTAAAAGAGTCTTCTGCTTGGAGCATCCCTTCTAGCAGAGAAGACACAAGTCACTTGAAATGAACATAAAGGAAATTTTGGGCTGACTCTCTAGTTTTTGCTGGCTTTTTAACTCCCAGACTTGCAAAGCAAATTCTGTGCAGTCCAATGTCATTAAACAGGGTCTTTACCTCCCAGAGTGAAGTAAAGCCATGTAATAGCTGTTAGCTATTGACTTCCCTGCTGAAATTTCAGATGCAAAAGTGGGGAAGGAAGGCTGATGCCATACTGTTCATTTGTCTGTATAATCTGGACCATATGGCAACTCCAAAGGGAACTCTGGTCCATCTGATCGGCTGTCTGACTTCTGTTAATGACAGTGCCTGACCTTCAAGGGGAGATGAAATTCCCATATAGCTCACACGGGCAGTCATTATTAAAGGATAATGGGGAATGAGCTGTAGTTATTTCAGAATGGTGGTGGCAGTACTTCATTCAATACATGTAAGGTATGAATAGTTATGACCAAGATGGCAACATATTGCTCTGGAGACAGGCATCATGTTCCTTGCATGTCGCTAGAGGGATGAAAAGAGCCAGTGTTACCCACTGTTATTACCCCTTGTGCAAATATTTTATTTCACATAAAGAAATCAGACCTGAAAAGGGGGGCGACATAATTGCTGGGGAAGATCCCAACCCTTCCTGTGACGAGTGACATTCCCCGCAGCCAACCGTCATAGTACTTCCCCAAAACACGAACTCCTTCTCCCTTCTGCAGCTCCAGCTCATCTGGTCCATGAGCTGTGTAGGAATGGAGGGCAACGCACCTGGGAATGAAAGAAGAGCAAACATTATTATGGAGTGATAACCCTCTTCCTGCCATATAAAGAGATTGTGACAGCACAACTCTGTTTCTAACCATTCTGGCAACGGATGCTGTTGGCTTTTGTGAGCAGAAGTTAGTTGCCTGAAGCCTCGTCAAATAGTACTCATGTCAAATATCTGGGCACTGTCACAAATATGGAAAAAGTTTTGCAGGAAAGAAAGTGCCTACATCTTCCAGAGAGAATATGAATATAAGAAAGCCACGAGGAGTGAAGAACGAACCTGGCTGTTTGTCAGTGTTTTTTGTTCCAGAATTGCCAGCTCACACGGCCAAATGGACCTGGGCAATAAGGGGGAAAGAGGGAGCTGCCGTTCTTGTTCTCACATAAGAATAAAGCATACCTTGTCCAAGGCAGAGCAGCACAGGTGTGTGGGTGAGGTGCACCTCCAGAAGATGGTATCAAGGACACAAAGTCAAGGATGTACTGGGGCTTTGAAAAGTGCTCAGTAACTTTGGGAGTTCAAAACGGTGAGCAGCAGTACTTGCTAAACTGCATTTTCCTGTCACCTTTTGGACCCGAGTAGGGTGGGACTCTAATGCATGTAAATGGATCATGAGCACCATGCAAAGCATTACCCAAATAATCCCACTTCCCCTTCTTCCCTTTCTCTCCTGTGTAACAACCCATGTACTTTAAAGTATTAGATTGCTTCCAGTTATATAATTAGATTACTTATGCTGAGCAGTGGACCTGGTGATGAGGCAGAATGGCAACAACTTCCCGAAAAACAGCTAAAAGGGGAAGAAAAAAAAAAGAAGAGAAGGAAAGGAAAAAAAAATCCCAACAAAATTTATTTAAAAAATCTCCTCTCCCTGTTTTTCATTTTTATTCTTTTGTGGAGTCTGCAAAGCTTTTAAGAACCTTTATTTGCTTCTAAAGAGATGGATCTTATTCACTTGCATTGTTTATCGCTCCTCTCAAGATACTTCTGATCAGTTCCCAAATATTAATCTGAGTAACAGATGCTACAGCAACAAGATTCCCTCAAAACCAAGTGTTATTAAAATAAATAAATAAGGGAGACTGTCAAGGACTTTTCTATCATTTTTTTTAAAGCATTTGTTTTTGTTTTCACTCCCTGTTGTTCATAACAGCTGTTTGGAAGTTTTAAATTGAAATGTCCTTCCTTATATAATGATGATCTTTTCCTCTTGTTTGCACTGATGGGGCTACATTCTGAATCTTCCAGTGCAGAGTGGTTTATCTTTTTGATGTACGGTTGCTTTGTAGCAATAGGTAGCACGTTTTTTTTAAATGATAGGATCTGAACAATGAGCTATACAGATTAGGGGCTTGTTTCTATAAAAATATAAATATGGTTCATTCTGTAAGTAATAAGGTGTGTTTAATTTTGAAGCAGTCTTGGAATAGTCTCATTGACTATAGTGAG